CTTTCCATCAGATCGGGTCATTGCTCACTTGCACGCGAGCTTCGGTTTGCATGCAGCGCGCGGCTCGGGCTCTGCGCCACTCTCCGTTTGTCTCACAGCCACCAGCTGCAGCTAACGCCGTCCACATGTTCTGGTCTTCGTGTAGCTGTCATCATCAGTTATTTGTTGGCCTCCTTAGCAGGTCTGAGTGCAGCGTCCAGTGTTTACGACAGGTGGCGCCATTTGATCTGTAAAGAGCTTCCTCCAGCATCTAATCTGTGACTGAAGAAAAGCAGCAGAACAAGCACGCCGGGTACAAGCTCACTCTAACTCTAATTATCTGTATTGTTGTTTTTCAGCTGTGCTGCATGAAGGTGGAGGTGGACATGGAGAAGATTTCTGCAGAGATAGCTGCAGCAGAGGAGGCTGCACGCAAACGGATGGCCGAGCGCGAGAAGGACTCTGGTGACCGAGGCCCGAGAGAAGCGCCCTCCTGTGTTCTGGCAGAGGAGGAGAAGCACGTTTGTGTGACGCACGGCAAGTCCCAGCAGAGCTCTCACACCAGGGACAGCAGCAACAAGGAGGGCGAGGACGCAGAGTCGGCCAGCGCCGACACACCAGGTGGGCTACGACGGGCTCGGCGGTGTCCCACTCAACACTTACGTCGTCGAAAACCGGAATCGGCTCTTAACGAGTCGAAGGCGGATATTTGTACACAATCTATATTAATGCTACTCTAAAAAAAAACAGAAATTTGATCTTTGACAGAGGATTACTAGTTCTGAAACAGGCTTCTTGCATGTTCGCCCAGTGAGCTGCAGCTAGTGATTGGGTTTACGGCTCTTTCATGGGAGCCGTTCATTAGTCGGGGGAGGGGGAGGGGGGGTATTAAGAGCAACGTGTTCCTGAGGTGTTCGCGAGGGCGCACGGGGTTGGTTAGAGTTCCTCCTCCGTCCGTCACAGCAGCGAGTGGGGTTTGAGCGGGCTCCGTGGAGGTTTTGGGCCATTCCCATCTGTACCGGGTCGGCCCGGGCCGGGTAGCGTAGGTTGTTTACATATCTGGGTGGCCTGGTATTTTTCCGGGCCAACCAAGGCTCATTCTCAGCCCTCTTCTGGAGGGGGTCTGCTTCAGGCCGACCAGGGCCAACACACCCACTGCTGACAGCAAACTCACACCTTCCATTAGAGCAAGCCTCTGATTGGTGGGTAGAATCAGCCCACATGGGCTTAAGACAAGGATGTGTGGAAACAACTGGGCCAGGCTGGGGCCGACTGGGGCTACCCGGCCCGGGCCGACCTGGTACAGAGGGGAATGGCTCATTTGTTACCCGAAGACGAGATGAACGCTCTCCACAGGAACTCGGCTCTCATCGTTCACTTTGAAAACCCGTTCAAAAGATTCAATTGGTTCGTGAACGTCACATCACTGTTGCAGCAGGTTTATTGTGTATAAAATAAGCAACATTATGAAAGAATAACTGCTAATCTTCACCACAACGAAAGGTTCTGCAGCTCACCGCCACACGTCTGGATCCGTGGAGACGTTTCCGGGGTGCCGGAGGATCTCCTGCGGTCTGTTATCTGCCGTCAGCTTCCCACACATGAAGTTTTAGCTTAACGCCTGTCAGACGTGCTGAATACTGATTAGCTGTGGCCATCTTTGATTGTGTTGAACTGTTTGAGATTTTCATTCAAATCCATTTTTTATTTCATTTCATGCAATCAAAACAAAATTTACATTAAAACAATTCGTGTTCTCAAATAATCATAAATGGAAAGGAGCAGAAAGAAGCAAAAACTTGAAATATCTGCCCCCTTTACACATCAGACATTAGCTTTTCAGCTCAAAGATCCATCTTTGAGTAGAACCGTCCAGTAGTGTAGGAGACGAGACGTCCTGTCCAGTTCCTGACATCGGTTCAAGGCCTAACTGATGTTTGTTTTATGATTTGAAATGCAGGAAAACAGAAATCGTCCGAGGAGCTGGAGGCTCCTCCTGGCAGCGAGGAGGGGGCGTCGGAGGACAAAGAGAGCGTTCCAGAGGGAGCCATGGAAGAGGGAACCAGCGACAGCAACACGGGCTCGGAGACCGCCTCGGCTCAGACGGAAGATCCCCAAACCAGCGATCCGTCCGAGGGGCCCAGCAGGGCCAGGGCAGCCCACTGAGACCCACGCGTCATCGCACAATCTCACCTCTGCTTATCAAAGAGGAGCACTCAGATGGGTTTACTGTAAAACAAGCCCAGGGTTTAAAATCCGAAGCTCTCAGAGACAAAAATCTGCACTCAGAGCCGACGAAGCCAAGCAGCGACCCGGTTCAGCTGCTAAAGTGAAGCACTACGTCGTCAGAGCGCACGGATCCTTCTTCAGCACAACGAGGCCCAAGTGTGACACTAAACTTTATCCTCGTATCGTAGTCTTATTGTTGCATTATTATTTGTCGTTTTGCATGTGGCGGTTATTTTTGCTTTGAACTCGTGAATGGTGAAGCTTTGTGAGCATCTCCTCAGCGGGAGAATACCCGTTTACTCTCTGTGTCAGTATTTCAGTGACGGTATTGTCTCAGGAGTTTGTGGTCACTAATTAGTGGTTATTGTTTTATTTATTATCAGCATTTTTATTGTTCTTGTGTACGTGGTGCTCTGGGTACAGCCCATCTTTAAGTGTTTATCATAAATGCTGTAAAATGCTCCACCAGTGTTCTCAAGTTTGCTCGCTGCCAATCAAATCAAAAGCAGTATGCTTTAGAACGTGTGTGTGTGTGTGTGTGTGTGTGTGTGTTATTGCGGTTTTTAGCAGGAAACTTTTAAACGTACCGTTAATGTGTACAACGTGTAACGAGGTCTGTGGATTTTCATGTCGTAAAAACAGCTTGAAGAACACTCATGAACATGCGGTCTTGATATGAATTTTGTTTTGCATATTTATAAAAATAAACTTTTTTTACCCAGAAACTGTTCTGCTTCTGATGAAGTTATAAATACATTTACAGCAGACGAGTCAACGGATTAAAGAGACAATGTGTAGATTTTACCGTTCATCTCCGGAAAAATCCATCAAAATGTTGAAAATAAATGAAATGATGCCAAGTTGTTGAACAATATTGGCAGCTTTGTAACATATAAGCATAAAAATCTGGTCTAAAGCCATTAGGAGTGGGTCTACGGGTGTTTCTCAATGTCAAGGCGCCTGGCCTTGCGAGGCCAGGTCCCCAGTCCAGCACATGAATGAATGATCAATTTATTCAGTCAGTCATCTTAAGATAATGTACAATAACATGTCATACAAATAGATACAAATACCATTTCTCACTAACATATACATTCATTTGTATATGGTGTCTATTTGGTATTTCATGACTGAACAGGTTCAGGCAGAAGCAATAGCTTATATAATTGCCTAACCTACTTACAAAACAATTTTTCAATTTCCCGCAATGAACCAACCCAAATAATAGTAAAACACAAATCCATCCATCAACATCAAATTAATACTCTTCAAAAATATTTTTACTGATAAGTTGCTAATTTTAATTCTATTTTAGCCTCATTCCAAAATTTTACTCCCATTACAGAGATACATGGACACACACCTAGGAGCATTTTAGCGTTACCAATCAGCCTGAAATGGATGCTTTGGTCTGTGGGAGGAAACCAGAGTACTTGTAAAAAAAAACACTCATGCATAGGAAGAACACGCAAACTTCATGCCAAAAGGCTGCAGCCGAGATTTAAACACGCAACTTTCTTGCTGCAAGGCACGAGTGCTACCAAGTGTTCCACCGTGCATTCACGATTTTCACACTGTGCCTGACTTGGTTGCTGTTACATATCACACCCTGTGATATTTAGCATCGTCGCTCACCGCGGACAGATTTACGACCATTTTAAATCCGTGGATGCACAAAACTTTGCAGCTTTGGCGAAATGATCAAAAACAAGCATGCAGGGAGCTCGGTGGGTTTTAAAGTCTGTGTGCCTGGCTGAGAGTTTGCACACCATGTGTGCGTCCCTTGCACTTTACACGTAAGGAAGTGGGTACGATGAAAAGGAATTGTACTGATTTCCTGTTTTTCAGAGCTCACAGAGCTTAGGAGTGTTTGTGCATGTGACCAAATTCTGCACCTCCACCTAGAAGAAAGCCTTTTATCTGGTGGAGATCTCGACCAGTGTCCCCCTAAAACACATTGTGATGATTACGGCATTGGTTTAATCAGAGATGTGCCGTACAATAAAACTCGTGATACTTTTAACACAATTCTTTGCACTGTGTGGTTTACACTGCCTTGAGTGAAAGCGCCAAACCACAACCGCAGAGATACAGGTGTGCAGAAGCCTGTGCAGATCCGCTTCAAAGGGTTCTTCAGCTGGGCAGGTTTTAAGTCTAGACTAGACACACTATTTTACCCTTGCTTTTAACAGTTGGCTGTTAGTTTGGCCTTTACTACTCTTTATTTTATCGTCCATTGCAAGGTTCCATTGGTTTTATTGGTACTTTATTGTCGGCTTGTCTTTTTTTTTATTGTTGGCTGTATTTTATAGTACTGTTTTATGTTTTTTATCTCTATTATTGTGCGACTGTTCAGCACTTTGGTCAGCCATATGGCTGTGTTTTAAAGTGCTATATAAATAAAGGTGGTATGGTATGGTATGGTATGGCATGGTATGGAATGGTATGGTATGGTATGGTATGGTATGGTATGGTATGGTATGGTATGGCATGGTATGGTATGGTATGGTATGGTATGGCATGGTATGGTATGGCATGGTATGGTATGGTATGGTAGGGTATGGTATGGTATGGTATGGTATGGTATGGTATGGTATGGTATGGAATGGTATGGTATGGTATGGTATGGCATGGTATGGTATGGTATGGTATGGCATGGTATGGCATGGTATGGTATGGTATGGCATGGCATGGTATGGTATGGTAGGGTATGGTATGGTATGGTATGGTATGGTATGGTATGGTATGGTATGGTATGGTAGGGTATGGTATGGTATGGCATGGTATGGTAGGGCTGCAGCTGAAGTCCAAACAAAACAAAAAAACTAAGGATGCAACAGCTCAGATACTAAAACGCAGGTAAAACCTTGTTTGGATGTTGCCCCTCTGAGTTTCTGTAGAATGAACCGGCTGGTTTTCATTTACATTGTAGGAATAGAATACGTATGTATTTTGGGTGCTTTTAAAGCTGAATATGCTACACTGCTAGTGGTGGTCAGAGGGGCCGACGGCGCCAAATGGCAGCCTCGCCTCTGTCAGACCTCCCCAGGGCGGCTGTGGCTACAAGTAGCTTACCATCACTAGCAGTGTGTGAATGTGAGAGTGTGTGAAAGCATCTTTGGGTGTCTAGAAAAGCGCTATAGAAGTTCAATGCATTATTATTACTACACATTGACCAATAAGATATGAATTTCTATATAAACATGGAAATATCAACCTGATTGGTTTTTGAATGTTTAACCAAAAGATTTAGAATTATTTGTTTATTCAGGGATCGTAAAACACTTCGTATCAATTCAGACAGTCAAGTTTATAAAAAGTAAGAAATTTATTTTCTAAACAATTAAAAACGTGACAACTAGGAACACTTTATGTGATGAATGAATCTACATGGATGGAATGTGAGGTGTGATGATGTGTGGAAGCGATGTTATCAGAACCATCGTATCTGAAGAAACTTAAATGACCCGCACTTGTATAGCGCCTCTCAGGGTAAGGACTCCAAAGCGCTTTACACTAAAGTGTATCATTCACCCATTCACACACACATTCACACACTGATGGTGATGAGCTACGATGTAGCCACAGCTGCCCTGGGGCACACTGACAGAGGCGAGGCTGCCGAGCACTGGCGCCACCGGTCCCTCCGACCACCACCAGCAGGCAAGGCAGGCTAAGTGTCTTGCTCAAGGACACAATGACAGCGACAGGTGGGTTGAGTGGCTTGCCCAAGGACACAACAGCAGAATTCTCTGTCCGGAGCCGAGATCGAACCTGCAACCTTCCGATTACTAGACAACCCGCTCAACCATAAACTATAGTGATGGTTTATAAAACCACGCCAGACGCAATCTTGTGAGCCTACGTGCCCTTCGTAGGAGACCCCCCGTTGTAGATCCGGAGTGTCAGGAAGTCGGACGGACCCCAAAGGTACCGAAGTCCGTAGGAGAAACCGCAGTACGACCAAACCAGTCTCGAGATGTCTCCAGGTCACCACAGTTGTTTGCGTCTTAGGAATAACTCTTAAGGAGTCAAAGTTGGTTCAGCTTTGTTCTGAAGGAACCGTTTGCGGTATCAGCTGTAGCGTGCAACAGGTTTAGACAGCTCGTCAAAGATGCGATGGGAGCAGAGTTTCCCTCCGATGGCCAGTCAGTTAGGCTCAACTGTAGGTGGAAAAACTGACCATTCCTGGGGGCTATAACATAATGAATAATGCAGAGACCCAAACACCTGCCGTGCCTTTTGATCGAAACACGAGCAAATCGCAGCCGCCAAACTTTCGCAAACCTTAAAATGATTCAAAACTCATCAAAATGAGATGAAAAGTTTCCAGTATGCGGCTAAAGGTAAGGGCAATAAAAGGAAATCAGCATCTACAAGTGTGTACGTATTTAAATTACAATTAATTTTGTATAAATAAAAGAGACCAAAAAAAACATGTTTTGCTCCCACTTCAGTTGTAGTTTGTGGTTTTAGTGTTTCTCGTGATATTTGAGGGCAGGAGAGAAAAAAATTTCTGTGAGATCTTTTATCTTTTTTTCCTCCTCGCCAAGGGAAGCCACCATCAAACTCACAAGCTGTTCAGAGCTGCTCTCAGTCAACATGACGGCTGCCGGCGGTGAGTATCTCATCAGGGTTTAAAGGATGCTGTGGTGTAAAAACGCGTGTAGATAAATGAAAGCTGGTGTTTAGTGATAACTCCGTTTAGTCACCAGTGATTTTGTTCTTAGTGTTGTTTTTGTCTCATCATCTAAATACAGTCACCAATGATCATAGCTGAAAGCTCGCTGTGCATCAAAATAAGGAACTAAACCCTTGTTTTTGAATGGGTTAAACACCAGCGTTGGACAGGAAGTAGCTCTTCTAACAATATCACCGCCACAGTAAATGTGACTGGTTTCTAAAGGGGAAGTCCATTTACCTGGTTGTCAGAAGAACCAACACGAGACACATCTGTGGAGTTGATTTGGGAAGCCTGAGAAAACAACCCTGAAAATGTCAGAGATCATCTTTGGGGAAGCAAGGATGCATCCGACGGTTTAAAGGCTGCCTGTCGGCACCCGTGGACCATTTCACCGAGCCCCAGCTAGCCCACTGAAAGCTCTCCATGTGTTTTTCAGATCTCCAAAACCTTCTGCCGACCGCACTGATATGGATCATACATGTCAAGGTGAGAACAGCAACTTTTGTGATGTTTTGGATCATTTTTATGATTTAAACTGGAGTTTTTCGTTCATTTATAACAAAAAGGTTTAAAACTTTGTTTTATTTTCAGCTAAATTAGCTTCTTTGCTAATGCTCCACAGTTAGCTCAGTCAATACCTTGCTTTTACTGATAACACTTTACTTTGGGTAACACTTTACAATAAGGGTCCCTTTATCAATGTTATTTAGTGCATTATTAAGCATTAATAAACTATTAAATAAAGTTTTAATAACTGTTTATCATTAATATTAATATTAAGTCATGCATATTCCCGGCCTTTTGTCCTAACCTCAAGGACACTTAATGGTTAACAATATCAGGAACATTAAATAAAGGGATCTTTTGCCTATTAATGCTTAATAATGCACTAAGTGACATTAATAAAGGGATCCTTATTGTAAAGTGGTACCTTACTTTGATGTGTTTTTCATTAGAATATTTATTTAAGCACAGGATAGAGTTGAAACACTCAGATACTCACCATTAGAGAGCTACCTGACTTTTGCGCGCACACACACACACACCTGTTTTGCAGCTGTTGAGCTAAAACTTGACGTTGCAGTAGTTACGAGTCGTGCCTAACCCATGCACTACATGTTGCACATGACATTTCCTTAAAAAGACCCAGATTTCTCATGAACCACCGCATTGATATTAATGAAACTTGCAGAAAATACTCACTGAAAATGACTTTTGGAGAAAGCCCTCTTAAAGATTTCCACCTAAGCCAAACAACCTGACAGCTTTACCAGTATTACAGGTATTGAGGTGAGAGGCTGTGTTTCTATGGGATCTTGTGATGTTTTCAGTTAAAACTCTGTCCCGTCAGGCTGCAAGCGGACGGTGTGTGTCCCCGTAAGGAAAGCTTGGCTTCTCATTGGTTTACTGTAAGATGCATTTTCCTATAGCATTGTCTGTGCTAGATCATTTTAGCATTGTCATCACTTTCTGCTGCGTTATGCAGTGGTGCCCCCAGAAAATTGTTAAGGGGAGGCAGAGAAACTTTTGGGGTTCATTCATTTTTGTTAAAAACAAAATGCACCCAACACATTAACCTCATACATTTCAGAAAGTTCTTAGAATTGTTATTTGAACTTTTTGATTTAATTTTAGAAGAGTCTAATGGAAAACTATGGAGTTTTATACTTTTGTTTGAAAATGATGAGCACCAGGGACCTGTATACGTTATTTAATCATTAATTATAAATTCTTATAGGGTTTAACATTCACTTCTTGATTAAAGATGCTGGATCTATGGTTTGTGGGAACATTATTTATGGCGTATTCAGTGGTGGCTACGCCCCCCCCCCCCATTATTTTCTGGTTGGACTTACTTTGTCCACAAAGTACACAATTTTCTGGTGACTTTTATGACGACATACCCACCATTTGTGGACTGATTGATTGATTAGAACCGCTGATGAATTTATGAAAAGAAGAGGTCTTTCCTGGGGGGCCAGTGGGATGGCAAGCAATTTTCTAGGGGTGGCTATGCACCCCCACCCCCATCCCCCCGTTATTTTCTGGTTGGACATACTTTGTCCACAAAGTACACAATTTTATTTGGTAAACTCCTGAAATGAGAGTAAAAATAGTTTGGCAGCAAACATTTCCTCTGAGGAAGTGGTCGTTGAAGGCGCACCAAATTGTAAATTAATTACGAGGAACGTTCTCCTGCACTTTCTGTGTTCATTCACCCTTTTTGATTGTTTATTTGTGTTTACAGCCTTGCTTGTCGGGGGATGCAGTGAGTGCTACCACCACAGACTACACAGAAGAAACCGTTTCTGGTGACTTTTATGAAGACATACCCACCGTTTGTGGAAAAGAATCAAACCGGTATTTCCGCTGGTGGTTTATACCAATGCTCTTCACCATCATCTGCCTGCTGGGCCTGGCTGGAAACCTGCTGGTCATCCTCACAGTCATCTTCTTCAAGCGGCTGAAGAGCATGACAGACGTGTACCTGCTCAACCTGTCCTTTGCAGATCTGCTCTTTGCCCTGTCTCTCCCCTTCTGGGCCGCAAACTCCATGACAGAATGGGTTCTGGGCCTGTTTCTGTGCAAGGCCATGCACACCAGTTACAAGGTCAGCTTCTACAGCAGCATGTTCTTCCTGTCCTTCATCAGCATCGACCGCTACTTCGCCATCGCCAAGGCTGTGTCTGCCCACCGCCATCGCTCAGAGGCCATCCTGTTCAGTAAAGTGTCCTCAGCTGTCATCTGGGTCATGGCCCTGATCTTCTCAATACCAGAGATGGCGTACACAGACATCAACAACAACACCTGCTCTCCGTTTGTCAGTGAGAAGGACCCTCTTCGTGTCAGCCTCCAGGCCAGTCAGATCGCTCTTGCCTTCCTTCTTCCTCTTCTGGTCATGAGCTTCTGCTACTCCTGCATCATCAAGACACTTTATCAGGCTCGCAGCTTTGGACGAAACAAGGCCATCAAGGTGATCCTGGCCGTGGTCGCAGTCTTCCTGGTCTCCCAGGTTCCTTACAACGTGGTCCTCTTCTGGTCCACCGTAGTCACAGGAGCCGGAGGAACTGATAACTGTAACTATGACAACAGCCTTTTGTTCGCCACTGACGTCACACAGTGTGCAGCCTTCCTGAGGTGCTGCCTGAACCCCTTCGTCTACGCCTTCATTGGCGTCAAGTTTCGTCACGATCTGCTGAAGTTGCTAAAGGACTTTGGCTGCATGAGCCAAGAGAGGTTCTACAGGTACACCTACAGCAGGAGGAGAAGCTCGGCAGGGCTGGACACCGAGACCACCACTACCTTCTCACCTAAAACCACAGGCCTATCACCCAAAGACGAAATGATGGACATTTAAAGGCAAAAGATCAGCGTCACGTGTACAAAGCAGCTTTATTCTTGCATCTTAATCAGGGGTGTCAAACATACGGCCCGCGGGCCGGATCCGGCCCGCAAACGGGTTGAATCCGGCCCGCGAGATGGTTGTGTAAACTTTATTTTCATACTTTAAAATGTAGAGTGAAAATAAACGTATCTTTGTGAGCAAGTTTTCTCTGTAATGAGTATAAATAAAACAAAGCTGCGCTCAAGGCTCACACAAGAACTTGAATCACATCCTGAAGTTGGCCGCCACTCAGGATGTGACTTCTGATATTGATGTACCGGTGAAATCTAAAAGATGTAAAGTAAAATGAGTCGAATATACTTTAAGTGCTGCATGAAACTGATCTAGCCACGTGATCTGTAAGCTCTTTGAATCGCTAAGGAATGTTTTTTTTTAATTTATTGATTTTTTTTCCCCAAATTTTCAAGTACACTTCAGGTGTTGTACTTGTACTATTTTGGATACACTGTCCTCAGGCTCCAGCCTTGTTTTATAGTGATTGTATTAAAACAAAGAAAACAATCTGAAGTTGTTTTTAATTTACCGGTCCGGCCCACTTGGGACTAGATTTCCCTCAATGTGGCCCCTGAGCTAAAATGAGTTTGACACCCCTGATCTTAATGGTTTTACTGCCGTTTCAACATTATTGTTTTCCTTTGATTCATGTTTTTGCCTTTAGTGTACGGTGGTAAAAAAAAATCATACTCCTGCAAAAACGTAAAAAGAATGCAATAAAGTCACTGAATGAACAACATGGCTGGTGTAAAGGATGGGTCGTTTACATCTTACTTATGAACCATAAAATGTGAGATTCCATAGAAATATGAAATATCAATCTGATGGATCTTTGAATATTTTAACCAGAAGATCAGAACTTTTTCTTGCAGGGATTAAGCGACACTTCGTATTAACTCCAAGGAAAGAGAGAGAGTCAGGTTTATAATAGTTAAGAAATTTATTTCTACACAATTTAAACAAGACTAACTTTAACACTCTGTGTACTCATGGACTAAGGTGGAGTGAGTCGTGATGTGTAATAAAAATGAACTTGTCATCTGTTGTATAATTGCTTTATATAAGTTATTGATCACTACTGTTTGTCAATCACACTTATCATGAGGATGTAATCAAGGGTAATCATGGTAGAGCCGAACATAATGTGATCATGAGGATGTAATCAAGGTAATCATGGTAGAGGTGTGCAGCTTTGCACGCACATCAGGGAATGTATAAGGAGCAGAGCAGGGCTCAGGGGGGTTAGAGCTGCTTGGCGTATTCTACCTGACGAGGTTCATGGATTACATGTGTTCAGTTCTTCACCTATCATGGATTACGTTTTCTAACTGGGGTGTTCAGCTCTCCACCCATAAGCAACGGTAAGAGAAATGTTTCGTTCATGATTGATAACTTGTATGAATGCCGGTTGAATAAAGCCTTGTTGTTCATCTGATATTCAAGTTGTGTTTCATTGTTTCTGGCGTCGACTTGACAACGATCCTGACTAAATAAATATAAAGTGTAAAAAGAGACTTTGAGTCTTTTAAGGTAATTAAAATAAAATAAAACATTTTATTTTAGAACATTTTTGGCGTCACGAACAGGATCAGTCAAGCTATTCCAGCAACAATGAAGTGTTTTTGGAGAAGCAAAAAGGAGCCGAGAGCTTCTGGGGAGGGAACGCCGATTCCCGTGCCGATTCCCGGCTGGGAAACGGAGGAGTTCCGAACCATTGGTGATATGTTAAGGCAGCGCGGTGGACGCCCTGGGCCGTGGGGAGAGTTAAATGGAGTGGTCAGCCCCGCCGTGGTGCTGGACCGTTTGACGCGGATAGAAGTTAAAGAAAAAGCGCCGCTGGCAGGAGTGAGAGATATGATGTGGCTTTTTGCAGAAGCATGGAAAAAACAGGAGTTAGAATTGAGCAGTTGTAGAGAGCGAGCGGCGCAGGAGAAAATCCATGCTGAAGAAGTTGAAAAATCATGCTCAGAGTTTGAGCAGAGAGTGTGTGTGATGGGGAAAGAGCTAAAGCATGCTCAGAATGTTTTGGATAAAACGCTGACTTTTGTGTCTCGAGCGCAAAGGAAGGAAAAGAAGCGACCTCGTAGAACAGGTCCTGCTCAGATCCGGGCGTTTGTAAAGAATGTTGGTGAAGATTGGAACCCGGAGAAATGGAACGGGGATCTTTGGGGGGATGATGAGGAGGAGGAGTGGGCGATTAAACCTGACCCACCACCTCAGCCCTTGTATCCATCATTACAGGGGATAAAGATGTCAGAACAAAGACCTATTACTAGGCGTCGGCGAGAACAGCAAATTATTCCACCAATACTGGTAGATATGGTGGATGATCAGGGACGGCCGGAACTCGATGAGGCGGGTAATATAAGAAGGATGTTACAACAGCAGCCACAACCCGCCCCTAGGCTGCTAACAACGCTAGAGGATTATTCACAAGATGAGTTAAATCACATGAATGGGAAGCTGAAACAGCGCCCAGGCGAACCAACTGACTCCTGGCTTAATCGCCTTATGGAGGATGGCGCGTGTGATATAGCCATAGATGCCGGTGATGCCATGAGATTTTCAGGATTAAGTACTGATGCACAGATAAATGCTGAATACCGGGCTACAGTCCGGGCATTGCCAGCTGATGAAGATTTCAATGTGGGGGATGCATATGCTCTGGCATGTCATGTAATCTATCCTACCACGGCGGACTGGTCTGAGATTAAAGGGCAATGGCAGACAGTGAGAGATGCCATTCAGCGGCTCACCAGACTCACTATTAGAGAGCAAGTGGCTCGAAACGGGGGAGCTGGAGTGGTGGACTGTAACATCTCTAAGGCAACTAGAGATCACCTCATCAGACATGCCCCACCACATTATAAACCCATGGTGACCAGCTTGTTGTTTGGCGCGGCAGACCAGACTTTTGCCGCGATAAAAGATCGTCTTGGCGAACTCACCACGCTGGGTGATTGGTCTGAGACGAGGAGAGAGGGAGCTAGAACTGAAAATAAACCCAGGATTGATCCACATTCAAGGGGTCGTAAAGGGGGGGCAATGGGCCCCTCTAGAACAGATCTGTGGAGGGCACTGCGACAAGCGGGAGTGCCGTTTGAGGAGATTGATGGATTGCCCACTAATGCATTGATGGAGAAATGCAGACAAATGGGACTGAAGGTCCATTGTCAGTTCAGACATTGTCCTGAAAAGGACGACAGGATGTCTGTGTCAGAATTGGCTGGAATGTTGCAGAATGTGATCAGGGAGGTGGCGTCGAAGCCTGCTGAACCTTCCGCCCCTCCCAAGGAATCTTCAGAGGAGGAGAGTTTAGATGAGTGTTATCAGGTGGCGGCAGTGAAGCGTAGAAAGAAAAAACAGCACCGAAGGGAACATGATGATGAATAGGATGAAGGTCAAGCTCAGGTTGTTGCCAGTGCCTCAGGATGGTCAATAAATGATATCAGACCACATGTGGAATTACAGATTTATTGGAAAAAATCAGTACAGACAGTAATGGCATTGGTTGACACTGGGGCGGAGGCCTCGGTAATTCATGGCAATCCTGATAAAATAAAGGGAAACATTGTACCTTTGATTGGACTTGGGGGGCAGATGTTAGTAGGAAAGGGAGTAACTTTGCCCTTAAAAATAGGAAATCAACCTATTAGAAATTACAGTGTAGTAGTGGCTCCTGCAAGGGAATGGATTATTGGAATGGATATATTGGCCGGAATGACTCTTCATCTGAAACATGGTCGATTTTGTTTTGGTATAAACAGAATCCACACCATTTTGGTAGGCAAGGTCAAAATGACACCTTTTCCCATTCCTGAAGCAACACAGGTGGTATCACAAAAACAATACCGGTTGCCTGGGGGTCAGAAAGAAATTACGGACACTATTAAAGAATATCTGGAGGCAGGAGTTTTGAAAACATGCACCACACGGTGGAATAATCCCTTATGGCCAGTGAAGAAATCAGATGGTTCATGGAGAATGACTGTGGATTATAGAGCGCTGAATAAACATACTCCTCCTTTAACGTCTGCGGTTCCGGATGTTATCACGATTGTGGAAAGGGTGCAGCATCACTCTGGTACATGGTATGCGGTGATAGATTTGGCCAATGCTTTCTTTACCATACCTATCCCTGAGGACAAGATGGAACAGTTTGCCTTTACATGGGAAGGAAGACAGTACACCTTCACCAGATTACCACAAGGGTATTTGCATTCACCCACAATCTGTCATAGGATAGTGGCTGAAAATCTGTCGACTTTAAAGATCCCATCAGGCATATTGCTATCACACTACATTGATGACATCATGATTCAGGGAACCACTAAAGAAGAGGTTGAGCAATTGCTCCTACTTCTGATAACACATATGAAGAATCATGGATGGGAGATAAATCCAGCGAAAGTGCAGGGATCTGCACAGTCAGTGAAGTTCTTGGGAATTATCTGGAATAGAGGGGAAAGAGAGATAACAACTAAAGCTAAAGAGAAAATAGCACGGTTCCCAATACCACAGAATAAGACAGATGCTCAGCGGTATATTGGGTTGTTCGGGTTCTGGAGACACCACATACCTCATTTAGGACAGATCTTGCAGCCTATGTACAGATGTACTCGGAAGAAGGAGCAGTTTGAATGGGGGCCTGATCAACAACAGTCATTTGAACTAGCTAAAGAGGCAATCCAACAAGCTGTTTCTTTGGGGAAGATGTTGTCAGGACCAGTGGAGTTACAGGTTTCTGCAGTAAATGATTATGCTAACTGGAGTTTGTGGCAAAAACAAGATAGGTGCAGAAAACCTTTGGGTTTTTGGTCTAGGAAATTGCCTGATGCAGGACAGAGATATACTCCATTTGAAAAACAGTTGTTGGCATGTTATTGGGCTTTGTTGGAAACAGAAGCCCAAACTGTGGGGCATGAAGTAATGATGAGAACACATATACCCATTCTAACTTGGGTCATGAGCAATCCTACAACTCACCGCATAGGGGTAGCTCAAGAGGCTAGCATCATAAAATGGAAGTGGCATGTTTCTGAGAGAATGAAATCAGGAGAAAAAGGAGTATCAATGCTCCACGAGCAAGTGGCAGACGTTCCAGAAATGGATGAAGTGCCTTTTGAGGTAAAACCAATCCAGGATTCTCCTGTGAAACTGGGGGTAAGATGGAGCGAACTCACCCCAGAGCAGCAGGAGCGAGCCTGGTTCACTGATGGTTCCTGTCAATATGTGGCAGGAACCAGGAAATGGAAGGCTGGGGCATTTAACCCTGGTACACAACAAGTTATGGAACTCACAGGGACAGGAAAGAGTAGTCAATGGGCGGAGTTGAAAGCAGTACACATGGTAATAATGGCGGCTGGGGTGCAGGAAGTAAGTATTTATACTGACTCCTGGTCAGTAGCCCAAGGAATGTTAACTTGGATGCCAACTTGGCATGCTACACAATGGAAGATACATTCAAAAGAGGTTTGGGGAGCTGACCTATGGAAGGACATTTGGGAGAAATGCCAAAATATTCCTGTGTCAGTATTACATGTGGATGCTCATACTAATAACAATGATCCTGAATCCCTGCATAATCAGACTGTAGATAAGATAGTGAAAATTCAGGCTGTAAGACAATCAAGTCCTGGATTAGCCAAATGGGCTCACGTTACTGCTGGACATTGGGGTGTGCAGGGAACATTGAAATGGGCGAGGGACAGAGGAATAGATCTCATCATTGATGATATTAAAACTGCCATAGAAGATTGTGAACCTTGTCAACATCAGAAAGCAAGAAGTGGTTTAGCTTTGAGGGGTCTAACCATTTTAGCTGGGGTAATAGACTCAGACTATCAAGGGGAAATAGGTGTGGTGTGTCAGCATACAGGTAAAGAACCGTTGGTACTGGAAAAAGGAGACAAGATAGCTCAGTTAGTAATCAAACGGTGTGTAATGTCCAAAGTTGAAGAGATTACTAAACCTACCACTATCACTCAGAGGGGTGAAACTGGGTTTGGATCATCAGACTTTACTGCGGGGGCAAAAGTGTGGGTGGAGCAGCTCAATGGTCCTCCCAGAGCTGGAGAGATTATTGCACAGGGAAAAGATGCTGTGGTAAGTGTATTGTTCCCCAGAGAGGAAAAATGGATTAATATTCCGATAAACAAATGTTACAGGAGAGAAAATTAATGCTTGTCATTCTATCTGCAGTTTTGTATGTATCCCATAGGCGGGTGTCTGAGTGACGGTGGTTGACTGGGTCCCCTTCCCCTACAAAAGGATTGAACCCTTGTCGAGGCGATGGATGGGCTCCGCGGACCTGGTGGTGTCGGATGTTTGGTCATCGCCCTCCATGTCCTCGCTGTCATCGCACTGAGGGCACATTTCTGTTGGGGGCTCACGGAAGGACAAGTGTTGGAAGAAGGGGTCATGGGCCATCTGGAATTGGTTAGCAGTATGTCCAACCGCACTCAAGGCACATTCACATGCAGAGCAAATGACGCTTGCTACTTGGGAAACCTAACATCTACCGGTAAGATGTACCGGTGCAGAGGATGTCTTAAATTCCGAGGAAGGGTGATCAGCCCGGGGGTGTTGGTTCAAGGATCAACAGTAACCTTTAATTCTGCAGCGCGCATCTGTGCATACCATCAGGGGAATGGTACTTGCATACAAAATGGCACAAATTGGAGTATGAAGGTTGATCACGATTTCTGGATCAGGAATGGAACTGTAATCACAGGAGGACACGCCTATTTGTACATATTCTGGGTGCTGCCCGACACAGCTAGAGCTACGCAGACAGCTGTAGCTCCCCTGGTTCACACTTGTCAACAAATGGGACAAATAAGGGTAGCCGAATATGTGCGATGGACTGTGAAATTCCCTCCTATTCCGCCTTGCAACAGGAGGAGGCGAGCATGGTATGACACCGTGCTAGGAGGAACTGGAACTTTGTATGGTCTGGCTAACACAGCAGACAACGAGGTAACACGAACTATGCTGTCCAACACTGGAGAATACACCGCACAAGCTGTCACCAAGACTGCAAGATGGATGCCTTCGACTGTATCTAGTCAGTTAGAAGGAAGTGATGTGTGGAAAAGTGTATTTAAATGGAATCTAAAGCTTTGGAATGAAACTTATGATGCATTGCATAATTTGTCACACATAGGTAATTGGACAGTCTGTTCCTTGCAGACTATTCATGCTGAGACACAAAGAAATAGGTTTCAAATACAGGTAATGAGTAATAACTATCATGCATGGCGAACATTATGGAACATCAGTAGTTCATTATGGCTACAGCCACATGCAGAAATGACGATTTGTAATAAATCTATGTGTACTGGATACTGGGATCAGTATAATATGACATCAGTAATGACTGTGTGTAGATATCAGATACTGCCGGTGATAACCACTAAAGGGTTTTGGTATCTCCATGTTAGTGGAGAGTGGTGGGATGTTAAAACAAATCGAACATATGAAGTAAAACACTGTGATGAGACTGATAAGGGTTTAGCCTGCCCATTGGTAAAAGGACATAGCAATCCATGTTTCACTGATTCAAGGGTCGTACTCTGTGATTGGACGGTCACACCCCCAGAGGAACAGTTTTGGCAGGTGGGTCCTAACACCTTATGCGTGGCTACAATGACCAATTCCCCACAGGTACCTTCAGTTCCCTTTTCAGGTTGTCTCAAGGGTATACATATGTGGGAATGGAATAACGTGACCTATTGGTTGAGTAATTACACTGTATCTAGTCGGCTGACTAAGATACAATGGGAGGTTACACTCCCCTTGGACACTCTCACTGGAACGATTCAAATGCGCATTGGATGGTTCCACTGAAGTGGCAAAATTGATCGACTCTCATAGGTCCAACCTTTCCAGGCTCATGGTGTCTACTCTTGTGGCACAAGGGGAAATAAAACATGTTGCTACATTGATTGAACAGGCTTCCGCTCATCATTGGTGGGATATATTTACAGGCATGTCGAGTACCGCTAATAAAGTGCTAATTCCACCTATGATTGCAGCATTAATTATAATCAGCATTCTAACATTGTGTATGTTATTCGATTAAGAAGAGAAATAAATTGGGTAATAATGCAAAGACTACGATGAAAATTAAAGTGGAACTACAAGGTATGTTATAAATGACGTTGGTTTTGACATAAATTAGATGAAAAGTTCAAGAGTGGAATGTAATAAAAATGAACTTGTCATCTGTTGTATAATTGCTTTATATAAGTTATTGATCACTACTGTTTGTCAATCACACTTATCATGAGGATGTAATCAAGGGTAATCATGGTAGAGCCGAACATAATGTGATCATGAGGATGTAATCAAGGTAATCATGGTAGAGGTGTGCAGCTTTGCACGCACATCAGGGAATGTATAAGGAGCAGAGCAGGGCTCAGGGGGGTTAGAGCTGCTTGGCGTATTCTACCTGACGAGGTTCATGGATTACATGTGTTCAGTTCTTCACCTATCATGGATTACGTTTTCTAACTGGGGTGTTCAGCTCTCCACCCATAAGCAACGGTAAGAGAAATGTTTCGTTCATGATTGATAACTTGTATGAATGCCGGTTGAATAAAGCCTTGTTGTTCATCTGATATTCAAGTTGTGTTTCATTGTTTCTGGCGTCGACTTGACAACGATCCTGACTAAATAAATATAAAGTGTAAAAAGAGACTTTGAGTCTTTTAAGGTAATTAAAATAAAATAAAACATTTTATTTTAGAACATGATGAATGATGATGGTGTGTGTGTGGAATGTTATTCAGAACCAGCGGATCCGGAGAAGCAATTAGTTCTGAGTGGGAGTGAATGTTTCTCTCTAAACTTTAGTAGGAGATTTATAACACACATGAAACACCATCTGTCGATCTACGTACCCCAGGGGAAGCCTCCGTTTAGATCCAGAATGCCGAGGTCCTCTTGGACCCTCCTTGGTACCGAAGCCGGTAGTGCCGACCAAACTAGTCTCAGAATGCTTCCAGGTCACGACAGGTTATCACTGGCCGAGGCCCGAGAGAAGCGCCCTCCTGTGTTCTGGCAGAGGAGGAAAAGCACGTTTGTGTGACGCACGGCAAGTCCCAGCAGATTGTGATAAATCACAGGTTTATCCAGCTTGTCGAGGTTCTTTTGGCTGAAGAGGAAGTCCGGATGGCCGGTCCGAGACTTCTCTAGAACGCTGGAACTAAAGAAAAGGTGGCGTGGAATAGTTTTTATAATTGTCATATTTTGGTTTACTGGCGAATCAGAATTTGACATGAAAAAGAGGGTTTATACAAACACCACAGATAACCACGCCTTGCGCCAGAAACGAAGGTTCTGATTGGATCAGACAAAAGGGAATGTGCCGTGTGACATTAGCATTACGTGTCATTAGTGTCTAGTGCAAATGTCCAGGATTATAATAACTAGTAAAATACTACTGATCACAGTCTTCACTCCCATCAGAACTAATCGTTTCTCCGGATTTGCTGGTTCTGAACAACATTCCACACTACACCATTCTCCGTCTCACTTCGCCTTAGTTACACCATACATTTAGTGTTAAAAGTTAGTCTAGTTTTAATTTGTTTAATAATAAATCGTTAAACTTTCAAAACTTGACTCTCTTTTGTCTCTGGGTGAATACGAAGCTGTTACATAATCCCTGCAATAAAAAGTTCCAATCTTCTGGTTTAAATTATCCAAAGATCCATAAGATTGATTTCATATTTCCTATGGAATCTCACATCTTATGGTTCATTAAATAACATGTAAATTTAATCGTTACAAAGGTGTGTCATTTTTTCTGCCCCAGTACAACTCATACAGAATTTGGTAAAAGTCTTGAATCACCATGAGTGATTATAATTAAATGACTAAATGTTTCAGACAGGAAGCAGCTTTGAAGGCCCACATTTCCCCAGACGAAGGTTCACCTCAGCTGCTCTCAGGCGTGTCAGAGCGTTTAGAAACACCAGCCCGCCCCTTTTATCGACTCTGCTCTTGACATTTCAGCACTAGTTGTTCCTCCAACTTTACAACCGGACAAAAATGATGAAACTAGGATACTCGCACGTCGCTCTGTGACGTTTTTCCAGTTGAATTCCCTCAGTCCGACTGAAGATCCCCTCTGTTCTTGTTAAAACCGGTTTAGAGTGATTAAACACTGACACTAAAACTGCGAATAACCAGCAAGTTAAATATCAGGGAAAGTTGAGGCATTTACTGTGTTTTAGACCAAATTTGCAGAGAAAGTCGTGCAAATGTTCTTAATCTCACAGCAGGACTTTGCAGAATTTACCTTCTACTCACGTTTTTGATTAAAGTATTTTTTTGTATTTAACAAGTTAATCTATCAATATACTCATATATCATAAGATTAATATTAAGGGTTTAACATCCACTTCACACTGAGAATTAACCTCTCTGAGTATCTGAGTGAAGGCGTGGATTCTCAGGTGTTTTGGTAATACCTTTAAACGTGTCAAATTCTGATTTGACACATTTATAAACAAAAGTTGATGAATACAGGAATCGCTTCCTGATCTAGTTAGTCTTCGGGGTGAACAAGCATTTTTTAGACCATCCTATCTTTTGACCTCAAGGTCAAAGCCTCTCTGCAACGCTTGCGAGTGATTTCAGACACAACAGCTCTTTTAAGAACCACTGAAAAGCCTTAGACGCAAAATAGACACTTCCGCTTCCTGCCGTCACCTGAAGATAACCCAGACTAGACGGGTCATACTCTGAGATGGCTACGAGCTCTGGTACCAGAGGTCCACGCCATCTAGTGTCCATCTCAACCTCCTGACCCCTGGATCGCTTAGGGATCTTCACACGAGGGTGCGTAGATCGGCACAAATTGCGTCGGATGGTTTTATAAATAAACCTCTAGCTTATCAAACCATACAGCCAAACTGATTTCACAAGCTTACCTGTACTTTTATTATTTTACTTTTCTCTAAATGCATATGCTGCTGTAATGAGTGAATGTCCCCACTGTGAGATTAATAAAGTCTGTTCTATTCAGTAATATAAAACTAAAGCACAAGATGTAACTTTACACGAGTGATTAGGTTCAGACGTGCGACCTGAAGCTTTCTTAGTGGTGATTTCATTTTGGAACAAAATCTAAACATTTTCTTTCTTCTTTTCATTTCCGAGACGAGAAACAAAATCTGATTTTTTTCTGATTTTACAACATGAATTGGTTTTGCTGCTCTGGTTTTTGTTTATTAAAAGAAATAAAATAAACTGAAAAATGAAGATTAAAAGTAATCTTTCTTTTCATCACAAGGCTTTAACCCTCCCGCATTGTTAATGGGGTCAGATGGACCTCTGGTGTATTTTTATTTTAATATTTTTTAAGGGATGCATCACTTCACCCCAGCCAAGGCGTAAACTTTAAACCCCGTTTAACCACCCCCCCGTCCTGGCGGGGTCAGCTGAAAGGAAAGTGGAAGGGTTATTTGTCTAAGATATCATAAAGCGTCATAATGTCATGGTCTGCGTCTGCCCTTTCCTTCATGTGCCTCCTGGTGTCCTCCATCCCTCTCTAGATTCCCTTTTGTGTCTCATAGCGCCCTCATGTGTCCTTTGTCTGCGTCTCATTTATGTGTTTTCTGTTTGTAGGCATTCGATCATCCCCATCCCCTCCAGTTGTAGCTCCAGCCTCTTTGTAACCCAGCTCTGTGTCTGTGTGGGTGTGTGCGTGTCCATTTCCCAACTCAGTGTGTATGTGTGTGTGTGTGTGTGTGTGTGTGTGTGTGTGTGTGTCCATTCCCCAATTCAGTGTGTGTGAGTGTATTTGGGTGTGATTGTGTGTGTGTGAGTCCTTCCCTCAGTCTTTTAGTTCAGTTTTGTGTTTATCTGCCCTCCTTTGGTTCTGCTTCCCCATTTAGATAATTGTTGTCACCTGTCTTCCCTCCAGCCCTCAATCCACACACCTGCTTCCTGTTCCCTTAATTTACTCCTCCCTGTTATTTAAGCCCTGTCTTGTCTTTGTCTTGTGTCGGTCCATTGTTGTTATTCTGTCAGTCTGCTCGTGTTGTCTCCAGTGTTTTGATCTCCTGCTCAGCTCTTTGGATATATTGGTTTTTTTTTTGGCTCCAGCCATTTTGGATATATTTTTGTTTCATCCATCCTAATAAAAGGATTTTACTTTATATCATCTCCTGCCTCGTGTCATCTTGGGTTCCTGCATTTTGGGTCCTACCAACACCGAATCGTGACACATAAAGGTGGATTCAAAGAACGTTTCCCAGCAGGAGGCTTCTTCTCAGTAAAACTGTCCAGCTCCTCCTGGCTGGTCCCAGACCAGCTGAGATGTAACCCTACCCAGAGAAGTTTCAGGTCTTCATCTGATTCCTAGACCACCTGGTGACGCAGAGGAGACACCAAGCCATCCTACAGAGGAAGCTGCTATCTGACTCCCTTCGGTCATCCAGACTTCATGTCCACAGCTGAAGAGTTAATAACAAATGTGTTTTATTCTAAATGTCTTGCTAACATGTGTAGCCTAGCAAAAAAAACACCCCCTGGAACCACAAGCATCTGGCTGCAGACATCAGCTGGCGTCTTTGTCGTGACAGGAAATGACATATCCGGAAAAACAAATGGTAAAAAATGGTAAATGACCTGTATTTGATATAGCGCCTTTTAGAGTCCTGGAACCCCCCAAAGCGCTTTACAACACAATCAGTCATTCACCCATTCACACAGACATTCATACACTGGTGGGGATGAGCTACAATGTAGCCACAGCTGCCCTGGGGCGCACTGACAGAGGCGAGGCTGCCGAGCACTGGCGCCACCGGTCCCTCCGACCACCACCAGCAGGCAAAGTGGGTTAAGTGTCTTGCCCAAGGACACAATGACAGTGACAGACTGAGCGGGGCTCGAACCTGCAACCTTCCAATTACGGGGCGAGCACTTAACTCCTGTGCCACCATCGCCAACAAGACATTGGGTCATTACCTTTGCCGGAAGTAGTTTGGATTTGTCGAGAAAAACCATACCGTGTCGTTTTTCTCTTCGATATGTACATATTTAAGAGAAAAATTACACGGTGGGTCATTACCTTAACCAGAAGTCATTACTTTCACTGGAAGTAGTTTTTTTTAAACAAAACTTACCGGAAAAAGCTTTTTATTTCGGATTTTTTTTTCTCTTCAGATCTGGACTGGCAAACTTTTAAATAATGTTGTTACCTACATTGCATGAAAATTGAATATTAAATCCCTCTATCCTTCAGACAGGGAATTTTTATGACAGTAGCACATGCACACAGATAGATAGATAGATAGATAGATAGATAGATAGATAGATAGATAGATAGATAGATAGATAGATAGATAGATAGATAGATAGATAGATAGATAGATAGATAGATAGATAGATAGATAGATAGATAGATAGATAGATAGATAGATAGATAGATAGATAGATGATGGATGATGGATGATAGATAGATAGATAGATAGATAGACAGATAGATAGATAGATAGATAGATAGATAGATAGATAGATAGATAGATAGATAGATAGATAGATAGATAGATAGATAGATAGATAGATAGATAGATAGATAGATGATGGATGATAGATAGATAGATAGATAGATAGATAGATAGATAGATAGATAGATAGATAGATAGATAGATAGATAGATAGATAGATAGATAGATAGATAGATAGATAGATAGATAGATAGATAGATAGATAGATAGATAGATAGATAGATAGACAGATAGATAGATAGATAGATAGATAGATGATGGATGATAGATAGATAGATAGATAGATAGATAGATAGATAGATAGATAGATAGATATAGATAGATAGATAGATAGATAGATAGATAGATAGATAGATAGATAGATAGATCGATAGATAGATCAATAGATAGATAGATGAGCAAAAAGAACTTTATATATAAAACTTATGAAATAATTTTCATGGGAAATTATTAAAATATCTTAGGAAGCAGGCTGAGGCAGGAAACTAAACATATTAAAAGTGCAAAACATTAAAAAATGTATAAGCTTTCAGTTAAGTCCCGTTCCAATTTTTCTGAATGAACTTTGACTCCTGCACACAGCATCGACGTAGAAGAGTAGACGCCGCACCAACCGCTACTGCCTATGTTTGGCCGCATTTGCGGGTTCTACTTTTTATAAACTCTATGGTTAACAGGAAGTTTTAGCTAGGCATTAGCTCCGGAAAAGCTCGTGGAGATCTGGAGCTAGAACAGCGAAAGAACACGTTCATAAACCCGTTGACGCACGCCAGGACGAACTCACTCACTTTTACGTTCGCCAGGCAAAATATGAACGAGTTCAGCTCCCGTTCACGAAAAAAACACAAATTCACGAACGATCGTTCAGTGAACGCGTTTGGGCACAACCCTGCTCAGAGCCCTACAGGGATGAGATCGGACATGTATTTTGGTCCCATGCCATTGAGTAATTTATAAACTAGTAGGTGCACTTTGAAATCTATTCTGTAGTTTACTGGTAACCAGTGTAGAGATCTAAGAACAGGAGTGATGTGCTCCGTTCTCTTAGTTCTTGTTAAGACTCTAGCAGCAGCATTCTGAACAAGCTGCAGTTGCTTCACAGCTTTTTTTTGGAAGGCCAGTGAGGAGACCATTGCAGAAGTCCTGCTGACTAGAAATAAAAGCATGAATGAGTTTCTCTGAGTCTGGTCTGGACATGAGACCTCTGACTCTTGATATTTGATGAAGGTGATAAAATGCTGATTTTATTTATAAAAACATAAACTTCTGAACTTACTTTAAAACTGGGCAGCTGAACTGTTAGAATTAATGATATTTTAGCAAAAAATATATATAATAGTGTTTTTTTCCTGAAGAATTTGGTTTAAAATAATACAAAATATCCATCCATCCATCCATTTTCATCCTCTTATCCGGAGTTGGGTCGCGGGGGCAGTAGCCTAAGGCGAGAGGCCCAGACTTCCCTCTCCGGAGCCACTTGGGCCAGCTCCTCCGGGGGAATCCCAAGGCGTTCCAAGGCCAGGTGAGGGACATAGTCCCTCCAGCATGTCCTGGGTCTACATTTAGGTCTCCTCCCGGTTGGACGTGCCCGGAAAACCTCACCAGGGAGGCGACCAGGAGGCATTCTGACCAGATGCCCGAGCCACCTCACCTGGCTCCTCTCGATGTGGAGGAGCAGCGGGTCTACTCCGAGCCCCTCCCAAATGAGCGAGCTTCTCACCCTATCTCTAAGGGAGAGCCCAGCCACTCTGTGGAGAAAACTCATTTCGGCCGCTTGTATCTGCAATCTCGTTCTTTCCGTCACTACCCAAAGCTCATGACCATAGGTGAGGGTAGGAACGTAGATCGACCGGTAAATCGAGAGCTTATCCGCTTATAACAAAATATGTTACCTTCAACTATTGTTTTCCTATTTCTGATTCAGTGCATTTTTTAATCTGTTCCTCCTAAAAAATTTTTGCCTAGAGAACTAGACCAAACTCATGACTTGCAGATTTTAAATAATATATATTTTTAAGTCTGGCTTGCCAGGCTACAATTCTCCAGCTATTTCAGCTAATTGAGTATCAAAATATCCAGCTCGTTGTACTCATTACTATTGGTATTTTTAAGTTATTCAGCTTTTTCTGCCGGTTTTTAGCCCACTGCAATACAAATCCTTCAATTCTGTCAGCCATTTTGACTTTAATTACTTTGGCGTACCTTAACCTAGAGACTTCATTCAAAGTTTAAAGCAGTCACAAGAAATTCAGCTATTATCTTGGCCCTAATCTTGGCCCTCTTTCTCCCTTCTCAAAACCAGTCGTTACCAGTTTGGGGGTGATGCAGGACTTAAATTTGATGCTCACATCAACTCTGTGATCCGGTCCAGTTTCTTTCACCTGAGACGCCTTGCAAAGATCAAGCATATGCTGTCAAGAGCCCACCTGGAGCGGGTACTGCATGCCTTTGTAATTTCTAGGCTTGACTACTGCAACTCTCCCTATGCAGGGTTGTGTCAGTCATCACTGCGTCGCCTACAGGTTGTGCAGAACAGCGCCGCCAGGTTCCTGACTGGGACCAGGAAACGGGACCACATCAGTCCGGTTCTGGTCTCCCTGCACTGGCTTCCGATTTGCTATGGCTCACAATTCAAAATCCTCGTCTTTGTTTATCATTTCTTCCAGGGTGGTGCTCCCCCCTATCTGGCCACACTCCTGAACAGACATTCCCCATCATGCGCTCTGCGCTCCTCTGACCAAGGCCTGCTCGCTGTCCCTCGTTCTAGGTGTCGTACCCGTGGGGACCGGGCTTTCTCAGTCCTAGCACCGTCACTCTGGAACCAGTTGCCA